CAGGATCCATGAGCCCACTTGCGCACAGTTGTGTGTTTCTGTGTTTACAGTAGTGTATTTTGTTTTATTTTTGATTTAACTGAATTTACTGTACTGTAAAATATACTACTGTAATGTAATGATTTTGAAATCAGTATTTCATTTTTTGGTTGTTGTGAAAACATGCCCTCTGTGGAACTGAATAAAAACATTGAAAACAAAAGACTGCAGTTTTTTATATAAAGTAGACTAGTGTGTTGCTGCTGATCTGAAAGTGTATTCATATGATGCAAGTGGGTATCATTTTGTCATCAGAGTGACATTTTGACAAAGGATTGTTAGGTTTTGATAGCAGAGTTTCAATTTGACATAGATGTGAATGGTTTATTTCCCAGTGTTGTGTCTTATTTGCTTGTGTGTAGAGTTTTGACACAATGAGCCAAATTTAGCAAAACGTGTGTACGCAATAGGCAAAAACTGTAATATTTCTGCTTAACTTGATAAACATGCCTGATGATGATTCAAATAAAAAGTATAACTGAGCCTATTTACTGATGGCTCATGAGACCTTTCAAGGGTGGACCCTGTAAATGACCAATCCCCCCCAATCATTGAAGTGGACACCTTTACTTCCAGCCATAGAGGGCGGTGTTGCCATGGAATAGTCAAGAGAGGACTTTATTATTAAATCGAGCCAACTGTTACTAAAGAACTATTTATTTGTTTCCGTTTTGGTTGACTGGTGATTTTCGCAGAGTGCTTAGTGTAGACATTGTGTTCTTGTTTGTTTTTCAAAAGTGTTTGCGTTTCTTGCCACGCTTTTATTTTGAAATCTGAAAAAGGAAGTGCAGCGGTGCTGTGTGTACATTGGCGCACTTTTTTGTACGTGAAGCGTCTGACTAAGGTTACCAGAGTCTTTATGCACCAAGAGCTTGTAACACTCCAAAGAGAAAGGAAAAATTGAAATCGCATCATATGACCCCTTTAACTTTTGGGGACACGCTCTACAAATATACGCTTTAAAGGTTTCTCCCTATCTCTGCTGATGAAGGGCACAAGGTACCATTTTAATTTCGTGCTGTGTTGTAAACTTTGAAAGACTTTGAAGTGTTTATTTTAGCGATCTCCTCTGAAGCTATTAACTAACGTTTAGCGGGTCATTAGCATATATGCAAGTTTCGAATATCAGTGATGACCATTTCATTGGCTAATGTTGTTATTCAGAGAGAGTGATTCATTGTTACTGTCTTAAGCAGAACACAGTGTATTATTGCCTCGTCAATGTTATTGTTTTTCTTGGTTTGCACACCAGATAGATTGTTAACAACAAATCAGGTCTTTATTTGGTCATTTTATGTTTTATGTTTTTCTCTCTAATTTGATATCATCAGCTGTACCAAAATTAATTCATTGTTAACTCAGGTGTTTCATTTAGTTCTCATTGCACTCCAAAAGGCGATTGGTGTGATTTATAAAATCAAATAGGTCATATAGGTAGCACTTTTTTGAAGAAGTTTGTAATTTGTTTAAAACTCATTTTTTCGTTGGTGCTTTATTTGCATTAAATATTGTTACTGTCAGTGTTAAAATAATTCATATTATTCAGGATTACTACAGTACAGTAAGACAAGGTTATTACATTAGCCTGTATACTAAAAATGTGATTTATTGTCGCACTATTTATGATGTAGGTCAATCAGATTGCAACTGTGTGTCTAGTTTATAGATTTGTTTTGGACATTTATTTATAATTTGCAGGAAGATGTCTAACTTTGTTTGTTTGTTTGTTTTTATCATAGACTGTATAAAAACATGGACGTAGTGTCCGTGACGTCACCCGTAGGTTCCTGAAGAGCCTTTTTGAAGCTCAAAAGTGGGCGGAGGCTGCCGTCGCCATCTTGGCAGCGCATCACCGCGCGTCACTCCCGGATAATCGAAAATGGGCAAAGAGGCGGGAGCTGGTTGCTGAAGCCACGCCCACCTAGCTCGACGGTGGTGACAGCAGCGGCAATCCACCTGTCACTCAAGTGGCCACGCCCTTAATTATGCAGAATTTTAAGGCTTAATATAATTTAAACGGATGAGTTATAAAAAAATTCACCCCCCTCACAGTTGTCATGAAGGGCAAAATTAGCTATATAGACCAAAATCATTTTTTGAACCAGGCTGTAAACATGTTTTTTTCTGCTGTAAAGTTGGGCATTTTAACATGGGGAGTCTATGGGACTGACTCCCTTTTGCAGCCAGCCTCTAGCGGCCAGTTGATGAATTACAGTTTTAGTCACTTCCTTGTTGGCTTCACGAGAGAGAGGGGGAGGTTGCCGCTTGGTTTTTATTCAGCTCTTACTGTGTTTTTCCTGGAAATTAAATCCTTTATAAACATCAGTTCCTGAGAGTAAAGTGCGTCTGTTTAGCTGGGAATGCTACAGACCCGATTTCCCTTGACACCAGAAGGTCTCTACATTTTAAAATA